TTTTTATTGTAGGATTAGGGATCAAACCCAGGGCTTTTGCAAAGTAAGCTAACACTACCTCTGGTGTATATCCCCAACTCCTGATAAAATTACTTTTTATTTGAGAATTTGTTTTGTTTTTTTCGAGACAGGGTTTGTCTGTAGCTTTGGAGCCTGTTCTGGTACTCTGTAGACCAGCCTGGCCTTGAACTCACAGAGATCCACCAGCCTCTGCCTCCTGAGTGCTGCTATCACAGGTGTGTGCCACCACCGCCTGGCTTTTATTTGAGAATTTAATAATGCATGTTATGCTTTTTCTTTTTACCAAATCCCTCCTAATTTCCTCCTTTCTAATTTCACCCCTACCCCCTACCCCAATTCCCTCTCAACTTTGTGTGAGCTTATTTTTAAACCCAATGAGTTTACTTGCTGCTGCCATTGTGTAAGTGAGTAAGAGCCACCTACTGGTGGCTTCTTAGGGCCGCATACCTCCCAGGATCCATCAGTTTCCCATAACTCTTCAGCTATGTGTGGGACTTTGTGAGCTCCTTGCTTGTTTATGTTGGGATTTTGTCTGGTTTGATCTTATACAGGTCTTATGCATGCGGTCACAGCTGCTCTAAATTCTTAAGTTCAACTGCCTCACTGTGTCTGGAAAATACTGTTTCACCATAGTTACTCACTATGTGTGGTTCTTACCACCTTCCCACCCCTTCTTCTGTGAAGAGTCCTAAGCCTTGAAAGAAGGGGGTTCACATGATATTAATAGACACTAATAGACATTTAGGACTGAACAGTTTCATAGTCTCTTATTCTCTACATGTTAATCACTTGTGGTTTCTGTGTTAATCAGCATCTAATGCACAAATAAGCCTCTCTGGTGGGAGCTGAGAGACATAATAATCTTAAACAGATAAGAATTTACAAAGAAGTAAGCATTATTCATGTAACAGAATAATAATAGCATTAGTTTCTTCCCTATGGTCTATGGGGTTCTTGGCCTGTTAATGGTACAAGGCATGAGTTCTGTCTTGTGGAGTGAATGTTAAACCCAATCAGAAACTGTTTATTTACCCCCTACCATTCTTGTCCACTCTCGATCCAGTAGACTTGTCTTGTCACACTTGCTACTGTAGGTTACAAAGCTCCCAGCTGGATAACACTGCTAGTTGCTAGTCTGGTAGCATGCCTAGTACCTTCCAGCACTGTGAAAGCTAGCTTGTAGGAATAAAGCTTCCAGATAAGCACCAGCTTAGGTCTTTTTAATGTTCTAGACTCAAGTATGGGATATATCAGCAACAGAGTCTTGCCAGTGAAGCTATTGACATATTTTTTTAAGAATATTTTTGTGTTTACTTAGTTGCATTCCTGGGGATGGGACTCACAGATAGGAAGAGTCAACTGCATATTAAAATAGTATTGCAGGGCTGAACTTGCCAAGAGTTTTGCCTTAAAGGCCTCTTTGTTTTTTGTAGTGGTCATACACCCAAAACACGTATTTGGTATCTGTGTAGTTTCATTCTTTTTGTAAGACACTATCCCTTAAAAGACATGAGGGATACAAACATTTTCTGTGAAACCTGAGAGAAGAAAGGGGAAGACAAAGGGGAAGACACTTCAGCTCAGTGATATCAGCTGTCGGGTTATGTATGTTTTCTCCTTGCAGACTATATATGCCTCCAAACTGAATGTCTCCATCACCTGCTCACTTACTATGTGACAACAAAGCTGCCACCACCTTTCACTCTATTTAGAAACAAAATGTCACTTAAACGACAGAAAGTTCCAGGTGCAATTCTGTGTGGGTTCGTCAGGATAGACGAAGCTATTCTGCAGTAGCAAGCACTACTGAACATCAATGGCTTGACACAGCATAACTGTGTTTTGTCCTCTTGAAAAGAGCACAGAGGGGCCATGGCGTGACCCAGCATGCCAAGCCATGTAGACGCTGAGTCACCTCATGTTGACTTGTGCTTATATCGTACCATCACTGGGGTACAGTGTTGTAAATGGAGCTGCAGGTCACTTCCTGCCGCCCGGCTCCTGGCCTGTTTTACACCCAAAATAATAACACGGAAACTGTATTCATTTAAATACTGCCTGGCCCAGTAGTTCTAGCCTCTTATTGGCTAACTCTCACATATTGATTCAACCCATTTCTAATAATCTGTATCGCCACTTGACTGTGGTTTACCGGCATGAGTCTAACCAGCGTCCATCTTGGAGAGAAGAGCCATGGCATCTGCCTGACTCTGATTTCTTTCTCTCAGCCTTCTGTTTGGTCCACTCCATCTATTTAAGCTGCTGTCCTATCAAAAGGCCAAGGCAGTTTCTTTATTTGACCAATGAAAGTAACACATAGAAAGAAGACCCTCCTACAACAGGATCCAGTCCTTGTGACTTGTACTCTGGATCTCTAGCATCTTGGTAGAACTGACATCTGGATGTCCAAGACAGTGAAATTTACCCTTCAACAATGGAGTAGAGAATTGGGAATGTTGGTTGAGTAGTGTTGGTACCTTCAAAGTCAATTTTGACTCAAAGAACAGGGAGACATTGCGGTTTTGTGTTATCTCTTTCAACTTTAAGGTTTTACTGAGAATATTGACAAGATTATAAAGCTGAAGTCAGTTTTCTGTTCTGGCCAAGTCTTATACAACTGGAGATGTGGGGGCAGAGGATGCCAGATTAAAGTAGAAAACTTGTCTTCTTAATATGATTTCAAACACTATAAATGAAAAGAACAACCCCCTAAGAATTTAACAGACCTGAGATTCTGAAGCCAATTTTAAACAGAAGAGAGACTCATACAGTTTACTGTTCTTATCAAATCTGAGCCCCTGTTAGCATTTGAAGAATATCATCAGCAGGCAGCAGAATCTTTCAGTGGTGTTACCGCGGTTCCTGCTGGAGGGTTTATTCCATTTATTTATTTGAGCATGGCAGAAGGAAAATGTGCGGAGCTCTAACAATCAGTCACGGGAGTGTATCAGGATTCCCACTAGTACTCTCAGGCGCTAATTGACTTATATATAGGACCCTACCATTGACAGTCTTTCTTGGAGGAAAAGGCGTGGTGGGATGGTACCATGACCATCCATGACCCCCAAATACACCGCTTACATTAGAGCTCAGTAGGACTGCTACCTTGGGGTGTTACCACAGGACCAAGTACATTTGCACTCTGTCATTGCCTTCTCTTCTCTTTCTTTTGCTTCACAGTGCACGTTAGCATTTTGGAGTTGTGTAGTGAGATGATACAAATTTTCATTTGATAAATCCTGTTAACCCAGGTGTTGCATGGGGGAGGGCCACTTTTTTGTCCTGGCCACCTGGCTAGCTTACACCCAAAATAACCACACAGAAATTGTATTATTTAGAACACCACTTGGCCTATTAGTTCTAACATCTTATTGGCTAACTCTTACACCTTGATCTAGCCCATTTCTATTAATCTATGATGGCATCACATAGACAGAAGGACTTCCCACACCACTACCCAGCTATCAACTTTTAGCTACTCAAAAATGTTCAACACCAAGACATTACAGAACAAATATTTAAAAACCCATTGGATAAGAATAAATATTACAAATGAGCAAATGCCACAAAAAAGAGACTAGGAAGAAAAGAATGAACCTAAGTGGTTGGTAAACAATGCCTTAACTGGAGGCTCTCAGGCCTGGGGCAGCAAGAACCATCGTACTTCTATTTAGCTCATGTGTTTCTCACAAGGGTGGCTCAGCAATTCTGAACATACTTCATGCTTACAGTAGGACGAAGCAAGTAGAAATATTATCAGTGATAAGAGCAAATGTTTCTTATTGTTCAAGAACAATAAAATTACAAAAGAGAAACAACCTGCAATGCTAGATTCAATCCAGAGCACTAGAATAGACTCTTGGTTTGTGATGTGCACCATACAGGTTGAGAAATACAGACACTGGATCAGTGCACATGAAGGCATTGCCAGCTGTGCTTGCTTAGGGAGTCTGTCGGTGACGAAGCCTGTGTTCTCTCTGGCAACTAGATCTTAGGTTTGGAAAACCGTTTCTGTACAGAAACTACAGCTCTTCGAGCAAGTGATTAATTGCAGCCTTGTAGAAGAGGGAGAACATGCAAATGAACTGGGAGCACAGTGTAGAGCCAGGAAATTAAGAAATGCTAAAAACAAATAGATCTTTTCAGAAGACAAGAGCCCATCTAGAGGGACAAAGCCAAACAACTTCAGCAGCAAAATAACAATATTAGATTTTAACCTTTGGAATAAAATAACCTTAAGTCCCTAATGATAGACTCTAAAAGTTGAATGAATTAATAAATAAGACTGCATATTTTTCACTACAGAAAAATACTGTTAATAAATACATAAGGAAAATACTGTTAATAAATACATAAGGAAAATACTGTTAATAAATACATAAATATTAAGCAAATATATCATAGTAGTAATTGCGATAAACAAGATCCATTGAATGATGCAAAATAAATCCAAGCAGAAGCAGGATGGTTCCGGAATCTCCATGTGTCTTCCCCATTGTAGTTAGAAGGGTAACTTGTGGTAGAGAGAGCTTGCAGACAGCACTGCAGCAAAGCCCTGCAGATGAGCATGCATGGCCATGAGACATTTGCACTGCAGAATCTCTGGCACTGGACACTGAGGACACACTGCTGTCTACCCACTGGAAAGATGAGGGGCTAGAGGGTAGAGCAGACTCAGAGATGAGCAAATGCAATGCAGAAACCCTTAGATAGGAGAGAAGACGGATCCACCAGTGAGACAGCTGAGGGAACTAGGGGAGGCTAAGGTTCTATTGCATCTCATTCTGACACGTTTGTCCTGGTTAGTAATGTGACTATGGATGGAAGGGCAGGGCTTCTAAGAAATTAGTTCAAAATAAAAGAGCTTACAATGAGGTTACAATTCAAATGATGTAAAATACACAAGGTGACAAGACCAGTCCCAAGTATCTGAATGAAGGCAAGCTATCCTTCTCTTCTTCCTCTTGCATTTTCCACAGCGGAGCGACTTTCAAACAGCTGGTTGGATGTTCGTCACATTGAAAAATACGTAGACCAAGGCAAAAGCGGAACAAGAGAGTTGCTGTGGTCCTGGGCACAGAAAAACAAGACCATCGGTGACCTTTTACAGGTTCTCCAGGAGATGGGGCACCAACGAGCCATTCATTTAATCACTAACTACGGTGAGTGTGTTCTCAGACTGTGGCTCTCTGTTCATCCTATGGGATTTGTCATTTCTGACTCAGACATAGGCCTGTCTTGCTGTCAGTGACCCGTTGCTTGTGAACTTGACACTTTGTTTCCTCAATGTCAATACAAGACATTCCTTTCTACAGTTTTTGCCTTTATTTTTGAGACAGGAACTCCCTATATAACTTTGACTGACCTGGAACTTGATATGTAAACCAGGCAGGCATCGAACCCACCTGCTTCTCCCTCCTGAAGGCTGGCATTAAAGGTTGAGCCTCTCTCTTAGCAACTGTAGGATTTTAACTTTTTATTTAGCAACTAATTGCATCAGCTGCACGTCTACAGCTCAGAATAAGAATCAAACTATTTAAATCAAAATATATAATGTAAATTCTCATTTCTTTATATTATTAAAAATTAGCAACAACCTTGGCTTTCCCAGTTATAAACAGTTATATAATTATGTCCTCTCTGAATGTAAATGATGACTTCAGAATAAAGTTGTGATTCTCTACTATAGTCCTTATTTCAGGGCTTTAATTATGCCATACTTATCTGTCATTCACTGTAGTTTGTCCTGTCTGTTTCTTTTCATTCATGCCACATGCACACGGCAGCAGCAGTGTGGCGGTCAGAGGCTAACGTTTAGGAGTTGGCTCTGTTGTTTCTTCTGCACTGCATACTTCAGGCTAGCTAGGATGTAAGCTTATGGACGGGTTGCTCACGGACTTAGGAGGCAGAGTTCTTACCGAAGTCTCTGCCTGCTGCTGTCAAGACCAGGCTGTGCAGCTAAGCGGATGATCGCTTCTTGCGTACCTTTAACCTTCTCCTCTTCTGGGCGGGACACTTTTATCTTTAGCCGTGTGTTCCAGCTTTCCTATTTGGACCTCCAGGCACTACTTAGATTTGAGTCTCAGTGAGAAAGGCCTGGTACTCCTTCCCAGGGACTCTTCTGCAAGTCAGAATTCTATCACTAGGTGGCAATATTACCACCATAAAAAATCCGTTAGAGCTTACCACATAACCAACCTGTCCAGAGAACCTAGTGTTTAATGTCATATTTCCAGCATGCAGATTTGAACGAACACACAGAAATTTGCATTTATAGTTTAAGGACCAGTTCGGTTTTTTTTTTCTAGTTTTGCTGTGTGTGTGTGTGTGTGTGTGTGTGTGTGTGTGTGTAGATCAGTGGGTGTCATTTATCAGGAGTCATTCACTTAGTTTTTCAAGACAAGATCTCTCATTGGTCTGGAGCTCATTGATCAGGCAAGACTGGATGGTTAGCAAGCTCCGGGGATCTGTCTGTCTGAGGTTTATGTGCATGCCTGTGCTTGGCTGTTTGGTTTCTTTTTTGTTTGGGGTTTTCTTTCTTTCTTTTTTTTTTTTAAAGTGTTTTTATTGATCTATATTTTTTTCTGCTCTCCTCCCTTTTCTCCCTCCCCTTCTATCCTTTCCATGGTCCCCATGCTCCCAATTTACTCAGGAGATCTTGTCTTTTTCTACCTCCCATGTAGATTAGATCCACATATGTCTCTCTGAGGGTCCTCTTTGTTGTCTAGGTTCTCTGGGGTTGTGGACTGTAGGCTAGTTTTTCTTTGCTTTATGTCTAAAAGCCACTTATGAGTGAGTACTTATTATATTTGTCTCAATACAGTGTTTTCTAGATTCATCCATTTGCCTGTAAATTTCAAGATGTCATTATTTTTTTCCTCTGTGTAGTACTCCATTGTGTAAATGAACCACATTTTCTTTCACCATTCTTCAGTAGAGGACCATTTAGGTTGTTTCTAGGTTCCGGCTCTTACAAATAATGCTGCTATAAACATAGTTGAACACATGTCCTTGAGGCATGATTGAGCATCCTTTGGATATATACCCAAAAGTGGCATTGCTGGGTCTTGAGGAAGGTTGTTTCCTAATTTTCTGAAAAATCACCACACTGACATCCAAAAGGGCTGTACCAGCTCGCACTCCCACCAGCAATGCAGAAGTGTTCCCTTTACCCCTCAACCTCTCCAGTATAAGCTGTCATCAGTGTTTTTAATTTTGACCATTCTTATAGGTGTAAGATGGAATCTCAGAGCTGTTTTGATTGACTCTGATGACTAAGGATGTTGAACATTTTCTTAAGTGTCTTTCAGCCATTTTAGATTCCTCTGTTGAGAGTTCTCTGTTTAGTTCTGTACTCCGTTTTTTTAATTGGATTATTTGTTCTTTTGATGACCAACTTCTTGAATTCTTTGTATATTTTGGCAATCAGCCCTCTGTCTTATGTGGGATTGGCAAAGATCTTTTCCATTCTGTAGGCTTCCTTTTTGTCTTGTTGACTGTGTCTTTTGCTTTACAGAAGCTTCTCAGTTTCAGGAAGTCCCATGCATTTATTGTTTCTCTCAGTGTGCTACTGGGGTTATGTTTAGGAAGTGGTTCCCTGTGCCAATGCATTCAAGTGTACTTCCCACTTTCTCTCCTATGAGGTTCAGTGTGATTGGTTTTATGTTGAGGTCTTTGTATGGCTTCTGAGGATTGAACTCATACTCATACACTTGTGTAGAAATCCCTTCTCCAGCTGAGCTAGCTCCCCAAATCAGTGCTTTTTTGTTTTAATTTTTAAGGGACTTTGATACACAATACACAGCTTTCTGCTGGCTTCTTAGAGGAACTATTTTAAAGCTGTCATTTCCTGACAAGGAAATATTGTCTTTGCTTTCTTTAATAACAAAAGAATGACAAATTTTAATACGTTTATATTTCCCAGACTTGAAATGTTGCATGTGGCAATACCTGATTCAGGGTGTATGTTAGCTCTTTATCTTGTCTGGTTCCTCTGGATAGAATTCTTGATGTAGTAATGAACAGATGTGGCCAGATCAATCAGCCACCCTCTTCTTGACCTTAAGGGGAAAACATTCTGTCTTTTACCATTAATTATGACATTAACTATGTTTTTTTTTTCCCATAGATACCTTATATCAGATTGAGGAAGTTACCTCTGTTTCTAGGGTTTTTAATTTTGTCTTATCATGACAGGGTATTGGAATTTGTCTATTTTTCACAATCTTGGGGTGAACATATACTTATGCATCCTTGAATCTGTTGTGTTGTACATATTAGTTGGTTTTTAATTTTAAGCAAATCTTGGGTTTCTAGGTTGATTCCAGCTCAGTTGTGACATGTGATACATTGCATATTTGTAGACTTGGTTTGTTGGTGTCTTGTTGAGGATTTTTGCATCTGTATTCATAAGAGTTAGTGGTCTGCACTCTGCTGTGTTTGCCTGGCTTTGGCATCAATGTTGGTCCCAGTGAAGGACGTTGGAGTTCTTCTGTCGTCTTCTGCATTTGAGGAGTATGTACAGGGCTTGTGTTAAACTGTGTGGCTGAAAGACTTAAACAATGCCCAACCCTTTCTCTGTTGGAAGTTAGAAAACACTAACTCAATCACTTTTTAAGTTAGTATAGGTCCACTTAGGTTATTTTTTGAATTAATTTTAGTAGATAGAATCCTAGAAATCTATTCATATCATATAATTTCTTGTGTATTCTGTTTTCTTGATATCATAATATTCTCTTATAACAATGATGATTCACTGAAATCATAAAATCAGTAGTGATTGCTCTTCTCTTGTTCTTAATTTTAGTAATTTGAGTCTCTCTTCCCTCCTTCCTTCCTTTCTTCCTTTCTTCCTTCCCCTCTCTCCTCCCTTCTCCTTCTTTTCTTCCCTCCCTCCCTCTTTCCCTTCTTCCTTTCCCCATTCCTTTTATTCTTCTCCTCTGTCCCCTTTTCCATCCCTCCCTCTCCCTATCTCTTCCCTCTCTCTGTTCCTCCCTCCCTCCTTCACTTTCTTTTTAATTCTTTCTAAACTACTGTCAATTTTGATGATTTTTTTTCAAAGAGCTGTCCTTGCTTTCTATGAATCTCTCTTTTGGAAAGTCTTCTCCTTCCACTCTGACCTGATCTCTTTCCATTTGCTTTTGTCTCTGTTACCACTTTTAATAGTTACTTACGACGACAATTTGCCACCATTTTTCCTTCTTAAGGTAGAAATTTACAGCTACAGGTTTTCCTCTAGCCCCTACCCTAAGTTTGGTTATTTTTAAAATTTTTGATTCATCTCAAAGTGTCTTCTGTGAGACCGACGCGCTGCCTACTGCACTAGGAGCCCTATTCACAGTGTTTCCTAACTTACTTTCTACCGTTGCCTTTGACTCATTAGTCATGATTTTAACATTTCCGTTTCTGTGAGTTTTCTGAATTTCCCTTTATAGTTGATTTCGACTTTCATTTCCCAGAGGTCGGAAAATATACTTTGTATGATTCAAACCTTCTAAATCTATTGAGGCTCATTTTGTTGCCCAATATATGGTCTGTTTTGGAAACTGGTGTCTTCTGGAGGAGGATGTGTGAGATTGTGTTTGGGAAAAAAGTTCTATAGATATTGAGTAGGTTTAGTCAGTTAACAATATTGTTCAACGAAGGTTCTGAAAAAATTAATTGAGGGTGTTTTGTTGCTAGTTTTGTAAACAAGGAATTGGATAAACACTAGAAAAATAGAGTAACTAGACTACAAAAAAATTTCCAAAAGCTGAATGATAATGTTAGAAAGAACAAGAGAAAGGAAAGTGTTCTCATCTTTTATGGGAAGTTACATAGAACACCTTAGCTGTGACAGCATTCTACAAGGTAAAATCATAGCTTATACTTGGGAAGAGGTGTGAGTGGTGGTGATTGATAATAGGTATATATGTGTGTGTGCACGCACACAATGATCTGAGACTTTACTGTAGAAAGAGGGAAAATAATAAACCAGCCCAAGGAAGTCTACTCTCACAACCTCGACATTTTACCTGCAGAACCTAGTAATAGCATTACATTTGCCTTTAAGCTTTCTGTTCGATACTATGTTACTTTTAATGACAACTAAGAATACCTGAAAGTAGCTAACTGCATTTTAAGTGGAAAAAGGTATGTTTGGATACTTCACCCTTAGAAGACATTTCACAGGCGTGAATTCCTAACCATTCCGGTTGAACAAAGGTAAACTTTAGAAATGAATATCACTGGCGAAATATCTACTCTCATGGTCTTGGGGCAAATGAGCATTCGAGACACAGACGTTTCTACATTCAGCTCCCTTACCTCTCTTTCAGGAGCGAGCTCTCACCCTTCAGCGCCTCGTCATCAAGAGCTTCCATTCCCCAATGCACTGCCCAGTGTACAGCACGTGTGCAAAGAAAATAACCCTGGACCTCTGGTGCAAATACTTTCCTAGAGATTGGAATTCTCTGGTGGGAAGATGCTGGGTGCACAGGCAGTGTTTGAAACTAGAGATGCTTTGCCTCTCCCTTTGTCTGTGTTTAGTTGAGGTCTGGAAATAGTTGAGGAGTTGTCTCCTAGACTCTACCAGAGCAGAGACTGAGAACTCCTAAGGTGCTGGCAGTTACTCACTCATTCTAACTCAGTTTTTAATTTCCTTTCTCTAGTTGATGTTTTTATGGAGTTGCTATGTTTTTTATATCACTACAAATCATTAGTGACTTTATTTAAAAGCATTACACTCCATCTGAAAATGGATCTAGTTGCCTGTGGCACTGTTTCTTTGCTGTCTCCAGTGGGCATGGATGCTGTGTCTGTAAGGCAATGAATGCTATTGAGTAGAGTGAGCTGACTTAGATTCACTCTCGCTTTCTTCTAGATTAGACTGCTCTGTGGCATTGTATAGTCTTACGGGGAGCGATCGGTGTCTGTCAGCGCTCTGTTTTTTCTAGGTTTATAAAGTAGAATTGCTTAATATATATTTCTTCTTTCAGGAACCAGCCAAAGTCACAGAGGATAATGTTCTTGCTCCTGAACATAATGAAAAAGGTAAATAAAAACAGAAAACACAAACAATTACACCCCAATTTAATTAAATCATGCTCTAATATGAGTGAGTTTGTGGGAGAAATAATAAATAACCACACTGTTTTTTTATTCCAATTTAATATAATATTTTCATGAACATTAAATATTTTAAAATTTGATAGACACTTATAGTCATCGTAGAGGACCTGTTGTTATATAAGGATCAATTGGCTGAAGTTGTCTTTATAAAACACAAAACTAGTGCATCAGTTAAAGAAAAATAAGAAATGAGTTTGCCACAGGGATCCTCTGAAACAGAAGAGAAAGAAGAGGGGGCCAGTACTATCACTACCACAATTATCATCTTCGTCATCAGCGTCATCATGTCCTCTGTTGACTAGGGAAGACCACAGAAGGACGTGGTTAGCAGAATTTGCTGTTTCTGTTTTCCATCAGAAACATTTACAAACTTGTGTTGAGTTTTCCATAGCTTTAGAAGTTTTCATAGATGCCCAGACCTTTTGAGATGGTTTTTAGGTAATGCTGAGGTCCCTATGGAAATCCATTTGTATCTCATATTAGTTTCTGCACTTTATTTGTAGAGAAAAAGATTGAGTTCCACCTGAGAGTAATTCCGGTAAAATTTAAAGGTTACTGAAGGCCAATTGGCTGATCATCTCCACCACATTTGAAGATTCTCTGGTTATGTTGGGAAAGGCAAACCAGGTTTTGAGTCTTTAGCGTTGTTATCGAAATTAAACTGTTATGTCTTTAGAGAGTGTTTGTAGAAACACAGTTAAATTAAACTCTATTTCAGCAATGTTATTTATTTATTTATTAAGGGAGATAGGGTTTATTGCTTTTTATTTTTTATTTGTTTCCTTTGTAGTTCTGGGGATTGAACTTCTGGAGTAAGCCATACCTCTAGGCTCTCTGTCTTTCCAAATCTGCATTTGTTTACTTTAAATATTTTTACCTAGCACCAATTCTGGCTGATCTTTTAATGGGTGAAATATCTTCATTTACTCTGAGGAAACCAACTAGGTGGTTAGAGGCTGTGGCTAATGAAAAGCTTCTCTATTAGCAATGCTTGGGGGACACTGCTGAGTCATCCCAAGAGTCCACGAGGTCAAAAGCAAGGCATCGGCCTGAGGACAAACAGATTTCTAGAGTCAAGGCCTAGGCTAAGTTCTTCGGTTAACCTCTGTGAAGACAGCAATCATGTTGCCTTTCAGATATGTGAAAAGCCCCACACTGTATTGAAGGATGAGAGCCAGGCCCAAGCAAATGGCCAGAGAACACGCGTGGGCTTTACCGTTGCCTCCTGGGATTTGCTCTCTCTCAGGCCTCCTGCTCTGATGATTTGCTTTCAGTGTGTATGCCCTGCTTGTAACAGTGACGCTGATTCTTCAGAGAGATGGTTCATTGTCTCTGTTTTTTTCTTCCTCCCAAGGAGTACTGCATAAACCCTCCATCAGTTTCCAAAGTATCATAGAAGGAACCAAACATTTCCACAAAGACTTCCTAATTGGAGAAGGGGAAATATTTGAAGTATACAGAGTGGAGATTCAAAACCAAACATATGCTGTTAAATTATTTAAACAGGTAAGGACCGAGTTCCTATCACGGATATCAATTCCACTTATTTGCTCCTATTTCATATTAAAATGTGTCATTTTTCATTAACATTGAAAGGGTGCATATTTGAAAATAAAGTTTTACAAATGGAAATGAGATACGTGACTGTAGGGTCAGGGTGGTCCTAAGAAATGACTAAGATTTGAATGCCTGTGTTTAAGGGATGTGGTGAGGATGCAAAAATCTCCCGCATCCCCAGATGTGCTGCATGAGAAGGACTTTTCTAGAAGTCACTCGTGGCCCCAGGAACTTGAAGGAAGATCAGATTGGCTGGGGATTATAGTAGAATCGGGTAAATACAGCTACTCAGCTCGTGATGGCCAAGAAAGGGGGATGAGAAGATCAGGGAGGGCATAGTCTTCTAGAACTCAGCCTGGGGGGTTGACACGGCCCCATAGCTGTGTGTGTGTGTGTGTGTGTGTGTGTGTGTGTGTGTCTGCCTGAGGAGGTCAGAGGCTTTGTATCCTGCGCTAGAGCTTTCTGCAGCTGTGAGCTGCCCAAGGGATACGGACACAGGGAACCGAATTCCGGTCCTCTGAAAAGCAGTATGTGTCCCTAACTGCTAAATGCTTCCTGAGTCTTGAGGCTGCAACTGTTTTGTCGATGTATCCATTGGAACTGGGCTTTGCATTTTGACTGACTGTGTTTTTCTGTAATGATCCCCATCTGTTGGAAAGAGAAGTTTTCTTGATGAGGGGTGAGAACTATACTTAACTGTGTCTGTAAGGACACGTATTTAGCATGTAGCCAAGGATTATACTGATTTGGTAAAGTGGTGGTTGTAGGTTCTCCTCTAAAATCCACAACTGCACTAGGCCTGGGCTAGCTTTTCAGTGCCAAGCGTGAGTTTCCTCTTGTTGAGAAGGTCTTAAGTCCAGTTAGAGAGTGGTTGGTCACCACCAAGGTATGTGTGCCACTACTGTGTCGTGCTGGTCATTGCTGAGACACAAAACATCGTTGTAAAAGTTTCCAACATGTAACTGGCGTTGCGAACTGTTACTTAAGCTAAGGCAAAGTCCCTGGGGGAGGTAAGAAGGGGCAAAACGCAGTGGACCCAACCCAGTAACTGGTGGAGAGGACTGGGAGGTACAGAATGGAAAGGGTCTGAAGTGATTCCTGCCTGTGGCTTGTTTCAGACACTTTTATGTGATTATTAACTGAGTTCTTCAATGCCCTTAAATTGCATTTTTGTTTCAGTAATCTTACACAGACACGTTGAGATCGACTATCTACTAAAGAAAATTGGATTGTAAAACCATTCCAGTGTCAAAATGTTGACCCTTGCGACCCAGTTGAAGCCAGTTGTTTTTTTTTTTAACTATCAAGCCACTGGTCCCATTGGCATCCTCTCTAATGGTTGAATTCTAAGGCCATCTCCCTGAAGGGGTGACATGCCCTTGCCTCTAGGTTCCCTTTTTCTTTTTTCTTGTTTGCATCCTACTGTCTAGCATGGCTTCCGTGACCTGATTTGTCTACAGCATCATTTTCTTGTCCTGAAGGCTTCAGCTGCATTTCCAACCGGAGTAACAGACTTCCGCTTGAGAACTCTTTCTTGGTGCATCCGGAGCCTGTTGCAGGGCTCTCTCTCGTACTTGCTCAACGGGTGTCTGTTGAGTAGTTTAAAGGAAGGCCATGCAGGTCATTTTCAAGAAGTTAGCAGTATAAAGTCCTGTTGTACCTGGTGGCGGCGCTACATTATAGCTCCCTTTTAAGACGGGAAGTGGAAGTGCAGAACTTTTGCCCCCCCACCTCTTTTTTCCCCCCACCCCTTCCTTACCCAACAACACACACAAGCAAATGGAGGACATAATCATGCCAACACCCCTTAATGAGTTAACTACACACTTTTCTAAAGGAATGCATTCAAACACTGGGATGATGCCTTTAATAACATTTCTCAAAGGACCGTAAGTGGAGTATTTTATCAGATGGTTGGATCTGTGCTTCTCAGCTCCCTGTACTTCCAGCCACTGGGACATCATCTTACAATGGCTGATTTGGTTTTGGCAGATCCAGGCAGCAGCTCCTCAGGAGGGCGAGTGTTTCTCAGCAGTGTCCAGCCACATGAAGTCTTTTGTTCACAAACCACATTCAAGTCCCAGGTTTACAGAGACTCAACCATGTGTCTCTTTGTTTACCAGATTAAGCAACAACAAACAAACAGCCTGTGACTGAGAAACAGCAAGTGCAAGGGAGAGACCTCATCTCTCTGAATAGACTTCCAAAATGTAGTCTGTAATGAAGTAGTTCTTGCCAATGACTAGCGGGCCAGGTTTAATGTTTTTAATTCAACTTGGACAGTGGTACCCAGAATTCCCCTTGGATTTCGATGATGATAGAGGTCTAAACACTTCATTTTATAGGAAGTTGCAAATGAGGATATTATAGCTGGGACCTAGGAACGGCTTAATGTAGGTTTTTAATGTTAGAAGAACGGAACTTGAGATATGGGGATGTACAATGTTACAAAATTGAAGACACCAAGGATGTGCCATCTACATCCAAGCACGAAGTATAATGTTATTGAAGTTATTAATTTATTCAGTATATGCATCCCTGGATCTTGGCTAGATGATGGTGATGATGGTTGTGCAGGGTCTTTCTGTGCAGACCCAGGGTGGTCTCACACTCACAGAGATGCATCTATCTGCCTCTTGATTGATCCTGAGATTAAAGCCCCACATCACTTCTCTAGATATAAGACATTTCAGTAAGAAGTCACAACTTCCTTTGGAGAGTAGGCACATCTTTTCAAAATTAATGCAAAAATAAATCTGAATTGACATATGCAAATGAGCCAACTCATAAATGGTGGAAGTTTGCAAAGAACACAGGTAACATAATTTTTGTGTGTGAGATTAGTGAGGTGTTTCTATCATTGTGGAATTTTCCGTGAATACATTATATTTTATAATTTATGTGTCTGAAACTGGTTAGTCTGAACATGAGATTTGCAACATGGCAGATTGCAGAAAAACTTTCAATTCAAGAGTAATGATTGTAAGTCTTGCTTGGGAGTTAAAATGTGTTTGAAAATCGGATGAATGCTAAGAATTCTCTCCCTGGGGGTTTGCGGTGGGGGGACTCAATCTGTATCAAAAAGGGAAAGTTTCAAGACGAAGATTCTCAGAAGTAGAGAGCTAGCTCTTAAATCATTCTCTTTTTCTTTCTTGTATGACATTCAGGAGAAAAAACTGCAGTTTAAGAAGCACTGGAAGAGATTTCTATCAGAACTGGAAGTTTTCCTCCTGTGAGTGCATTTGTTTACCTCGGATCTTACAGCTGTGTTTGGCATGGCTGGCACTTAATTAGTGCGGGTTGGATATTAGAATGTTGTGTACACTTTTGTCATCTGCTTTGGTGTATCCCCTAAAAGAGATTTTAAAATAGAGCCCTTCCATACTTCATTTGGACATCTTAGAACAGGAAAGTGTCACAAGGAAGTGGATTAAATTGTGTGTGACTAACACGGCTGAACAGTGATTCTTAGCATCGCATGCGTGTTCCCTCCCCTTCCTTGGAGATGTTTCAGTTGAGAGAATCTTTCATCAGAGTGGCTCTCTTTAGAGAGAGAGTTTTAGACAAAGAAATCAAGGGCTTTTGATGTTCGTTTGATCTTCCAGGGAATTCATTCATGAATCTGGGAGTCCCTGGATGGTAAACTTAAAGGGCTTCATTTTTATATGACTTCATAAGAACGGCTGTGCAGCCTTGCTCACTGGAAGTCCCTGACACTGGGGAACTCATCACAAAGAGAAGATGCTTTCCCTGGAGTTCTGGGAACAGATATGTGAGATGGGGTGGAGAGGGAAGTGGGGAGAGAAACGTTCTGCTGCATCCCGTCCCTTTAGAGCCAGAGCCAGGGTCTAGAATCAGAAGCTAATATCATTCAATCCAGATGTTGTAATAGATTTTTACAGTTTCCCTTGTTTGTTTATTAAGGTCAGATCCAGACATTTCAAAGTCTGAGAAGCACAAAAGGGTAAATTTAGAGAAGCAGTGTCTTCCCCCACTGCCGAGTTGATTAGCAGCTGGGTATGTATATTCTTGGAGGTCTGTTACAGCCCCACGAACACATTTGGTGTCTTAGTTTCACCTGTTCACACAAAAGGTAACATAGCACGTGGTTCACTTTGCTGATCCTTGTCCTGTTCTATTCTGTGCTCCACTGTACCTTCCTTTTGTTGAGAGATTTAAATGTCTAATCTTTTTTAACTCAAGAATGCCGCACGATGTCAGGAATAAAAGAAAGGAAGGAAGGAAGGAAGGAAGGAAGGAAGGAAGGAAGGAAGGAAGGAAGGAAGGAAGAGAGAACATTTCTAATGTTAAAGAAATTTTGTTTTAGGGTCTGTATGCTATCAGATCCTTTATTTAAGTTTCTGATGCATGGATCAAGTCAGTGTTATGTTTTTATTTGTGCTTTAAGACTCATTCTTTCCATACTTCTTTCCTTAATAAGTAGGAAGTATTTCTTTCCCCGTTGTGTATTTTCCACCTCCTAGTCAGGGTTTTAGTGGATAATGTACATACAGACTGGGTTATCTTTGGAGCCTCTATTCTGTGCCACCGATCACTGGGACTACTTTCTGCCAATGCCGGCTGATTTGATCACTAAAGCATCCCGATGCTACTTTAAATCAGGGTTCTGCTTTCTCATGTGACTTTGATTGTTCCAAGTCTTTCATGGTTTCATATGGGCTTTAGGATTGCTCCTGTATTGAAAAAAATGTCACGATTTTGATAGGAATCACATCGAATCTGCAGCTTTCTTTGGGCAGCTTGGGCAATTTGGCAGGATTAGTTCTTGCAGTGCACGATGCCTGATGTTTCTTCCCATTTGCTTTTGTCTCTAATTCTTTTGTCAATGTAGTTTTAAGTGTACAGATCACTTATCTCCGTGGTTAAATTTACGCCTTAGGATTTTATTCTCGCTGTTGTCTTAGGAACGATAATTTTCCTCATTCTTTATTCTGGTAGCTAATGGTGAATGTAGAGAAATAACATCCATTTTATATGTTGATTTTGTATTGGAAGAATTTAGTGAACTCATCAGTTCTAGCCTTTGTGTGTGCATGAAGTCTTTCAGGCTTTCTACATATGAGGTCATGTAACAACCAAACTGGGACAATTTAACTCTCTCCTTTCTAGCTCAGATGCCTTTCTTTCTTCTCTGGCCTCCTTGCTCTAGTTAGCAGTGCTGTGCTGCATAGAAGTGAGTATGGGCCCCCGGTCTCCCTCCCACTCCCTAGGGAAAATACATTGTCATGACGAGTTATGTCATTAGGTAGAAGTTTATCGTATGTAGCATTTATTGTACTGAGGCGCAATATTTTCATAATTTATTGAGAGTTCTATCTTGAAGGGCTTTGAATTTTGATAAAAGCTTTCCTTGCACCTCTTGAGATGATCACATGACCTTTTTACCTTCACTAGACTAGTGTGGTATATTATTGGTCATTTTGTGCATGTTATAACATTCTTGAATCCCAAAGACATAATTCTATTTTATCAGGGAGTATGGTTTTATAATAATATTTGAAGTCTTTGAAGTTCATGCAATGTCTTTGATCGTACTTTCCTGCCATTTCCACATTCCTCCCAGGTCTACCTCTCTACCTTCACCTCCCTATCCTTCTAACTTTGAGGGTTCTTTTTGTCTTCTTTTTTAATCCACTAGAACTCTTGTTTATATTTTATTTTATTTTTATTTTTTTTAAAAAAGAAAACAAACTATCTTTTTTCTTTATACATGCCAATCCAAGTTCCAACTCCCTCTCCTCATCCCATTCCCTCCACTTACCTCCCCACCAACCCCCATCCACTCCACAGAGAGGTCCAAGGCCCTCCCTACTATATTTAGGCTGAGCAAGGTATCCATTCAAAGAGATTAGGTTCCCAAGCAGCCAGTACCAGCAGTAAAGATAAAATGTGGTGCCACTGCTGTCAGGGCCCGTGGGTCCCAACATAGAAAACTATTTTCCCTAACTGGACTGGTACGGAGGTGGAAGGAATAACCAGACACAGCATACACCATCATCACGGAAGGGCATCTCAGGCTTCTCTCCATCCTGGAGATCTACCTGTGTTTATTCTACCAAACATCTCTTATTCCACCCCACCCCACCCCACCCTCACTCCCCGGGTTAATATTCTTTTTGTTTCTATGTTTGCTTGGTTTGGTTTTGGTTTTTGAAACAGAGTTTCTCTTCCTACCCTTGGCTGTCTTGGACCTGACTCTGTAGACCAGACTGGGATGGAACTCAGAGATTCCTGAGTTTAAATTCTTCCTGGGATTAAAGGTGCAGGCACCCACACCTGGCAAGAGGCAGATGTCTTAATTCCTGAATATAGTTATAGACACCTTCTCAGAGAGTTGAAACAACATGACTACATTTGCACAGTTGTCATAAAGACAGAGATGCCAGCCCAAGTCTGTGTGTCCTTCATGTCTGCTGAGTCTCATCATGGAGACTTGTTTTGCCAACAGTGACCATTTAGAAATATTTTCTGAATTGATTTCAGTTAGTATCAGACTTGCTGATCTTGATCTATCTAACTTAAAATTCTATGGACTTAAGAGTTGCTAGGGAAGTTATCAGTGGCATGAGTTTGTAGGCTCAGAAGAAGCAGTTCTGCCCCTAGTGCCTTTCCGTGTTCATTCCTCATTAACATCTGATCTAGCCAGTTTTTTTTTTTTTCTGCTTGACCAGTAACATTTAAAAATAGGCAAATTGTGGGGCTAGAGAAATGGCTCAGCAGTTAAGAGCACTGGGTGCTATTGCAGGGGACCCACGTTTGATTCTCTGAACCCACATGGCAGCTCACAATCATCTATGGTGACTGATTTCAGTTCAAGGGGATCCGATTCCCTCTTCTGGCCTCGACAGGCAGCAGACACATAAGTGGTGAATAGACACACTTGCAGGCAAAACAATATGCATAAAATAAAATTAAAATTAAAAATAAGCAAATTGTCATTTCTGTTGTGCTCACAAGAGAACGGAGAATCAGGGCCTGCCTTGCCTCTATGATGTCTCCTATCCACTGCTTTCCAAATGACATTTATCTCTGCATTATTTTAGGTTGCAGGAGAAGCGGCCAGGCAGTGGCTCAGACTACCTTTTTAAGCAGCTCGGCATACCTCCTCAGTTTATTACTATACCGCTGCTCTCCGCTGTACAGTCTGAGTCATAATAAGTGTAGGGATCTTATTTTTGACATGTTTTAAAATAAAGTCTTTCCATGTATTTGTGTATATGTTTATAGATACCAATTGTTAGGAATATTTCTTAATGTTAGCTCCCTGACGACGCAAAAGTTCCCAATCAAGCCAAATCAAAACAAGCCAAATTAAGAAATATCTAGGTTTAATGAGAGATCTGCACTCTCGGGTGGCCCCAAGGGGGAAACCAGGAAGCCGCAGAAACGCGACACCCAGGAGGAAGAAAGGGAGACCATGTGTTCTTCTTTTGGGGCATCACTTAAGTACCCTGGGGAGTGGGGTCAGGACCTGGCCTGCTGGGATTTGAAGTCCAGACCAGGCCTGGGGGCTGGGATAGATGTGAGGGACTGGGACCTACATTCCCAACCTAACACAAATATGTTGCAAGGAGGGGCCACTTGTTTGTCCCGGCTGCCCGGCTAGCTTAGCCCCCAAATAACCACACAGATATTGTATTAATTAAATCACTGCTTGGCCCATTAACTCTAACTTCCTATTGTCTAACTCTTACAACTTAATTCAACCTATTTCTATTAATCTGTGTATCGCCACATGGCAGTAGCTTACTGGGTAAAATTCCCAGTGTCTGTCTCCAGCGGATCCATGGTATCTCCCCTGACTCTGCCTCCTTTCTCCCAGCATGCCATTCAGTTTTCCCCACTTACCTAAGTTCTGCCCTATCAACAGGCCACGACAGTTTCTTTATTCATTAACCAGTGAAAGCAACACAGAGACAGAAGGACCTCCTACACCACAGATGTATACACACACAGACATTCTGGTGTGTTTGAGGCAAGACAGATATACCAGATAAATATATATCTTATATATATATCTATGCATGTGTATTTAAGATAGTATATTTGTGCTTGTAGGAAATTTGCTACAAATGAAGAACATTATAGCTCTTTATAAGTAGAACATTTCTTACAGCTTCATTTATTTTAATGTTCCCAAACATGTCCAAAACATAGCAGGCACTCTGCGTATTAAATGGAGCTCACAGTCTGCGTATTTCACATTTTGCAGTTATCTGGTGTGTTAGTACTTTAGTTGCTGCTATGACAAGACACCTGACCAAAAAGACTTAAGAAAACCAAGGTTTGTTCTGGCTCATGGTTTGAGAGCACAATCCATCAAGGCAGGAAGTCACATGGTGGGATTGTGAGGCACCTGGCCTTACTGAGTCCAGAGTCTGGAAGCAGGAAAATGAGGTTCTGGTGGTTGGCTTGCCTTGCCCTTTTTATTCATTTCTGGACCCTCGGTGCTGCCCACACGCAGTGCTTTCCCATGTGATTCTAATTAACAATGAGGATTCGCCATCACACCTGGAGTGTATTTATGATCTTCATAAACCAATGAGGACAAAGGATTAGAGCTTATTTTGGTTAATTGGTTAATTGGTTAGGACAGAAGCCTAAGAAATATACATTATACCAATGTAGAAGTCTGTGATTTAAAGTCAGTGTCGTATTTTTATACTTCAAGCTACTATTGTGTGGATTTTAGACAACAATACAAGCTTTGGAAAGACATGACTATCCTTTTCCTGCTTGTAACTGGGGTTTAACCGAGCTCCATTAGTGGGTGGATGAAGACAAGCTTTGCTAATCCTGTGTTTTTGTGATTACTGAAACAGATAGGTCTCAATTGCATCATAATTATTTACTTAATAAAATAAAGATGTGACACTGTTTTATATCAGTTAAAATAAGTTGTTATGTCCGTGTCACGAGCCCACAGTGACCACCAGAGTCCAAGTTCGTATGCAAAAGCAAAGAGCCTTTATGGCAGTCTCAAGTTTGGGCTCTTGGTCCTTCCAACACCGTGGCTGGATTAGGGAGAGCATTGAGCTCAGCTCTGGCAGGGTTTTAAGGACTAAAGAATGGGGCTGGGTGGGTGGGGAATTCCAGAATCAGAAGGGGGTTGAACTCCTGCTGGGCAGGAGTGGAGCAGCCAGAGTCTTGTCAAACAGGGATTGGTAGTGGCTTGCTGCAAAGAAATTGGCAACCATATATAAGTTAGGTGAGCTCTTCTTACAGTTCTGAAACACCTAGTACTTGTTTGTCTCAGTTCTGATCGGCCCCCCGCAGGGTACAGTCTGTGATTTTTCCTGGTTATTGTAATAGTGAGGCCTAGTCTCAGTACTGTTAGTCTGCAGCCTGTCATGGCTGCACGAATGTTAAATTAGGTCTCTTCAAACTGAATATGTCATCATGTTTTCCTTTTTGTATGAAGTTCTCCATTTCTCAAACCTTAAGAAATCCATGCTTCCTTAAATTTTAATACTTCTATTTTAGTATATTATTTTTATTTACATGCCGACAGTCAATCAAAAGGGGTAGAACCAGCGCTTGTTGGAACTGCCAACGAAATTCTTGTCTCTTGGCCTAACTTAGTCTCACTTTAGAACTGTTTCCCATCATTCCTAATTAGTCTCCTCCACCTTCTCTTTGAGGGATGGATTTAACAGTTTCAAATTTTCTGGTTCAAGGTTCCGTCATCCTCACATACTAGAGCTGGCTGCATATTTCACTGAGATGGAGAAGCTTTGCCTGGTTCATCCATACATGAGCAACGGGACACTTTTCGACCGACTGCAGTGTGCAGTAAGTCAGGGCTACCGTTCTCTCAGATCCTATGGCCTGGTAAAACCTGGGGTAAAGCGGAGCTGTTGGCATGGAGGGAGCTGAGAGGTGAGGCAAGCACACACATGGGGGATATTCAGGAATGCTTCCTGAGGAAGCAGAGACCCTCTCAAAGGTTGCCTGAGCACATTAGTCAATGGGTTCTGTATAATATTGTCACATAAACAAGCAAGTTTATAAATGTGTCCAACTTCTCTTAGCATGTGGTATGTAGGTGGGCACAGGGCTGGGCCAACCAAAACCAAAGTCTTATGCATGTTAAGCAAGGATTCTATCGCTGAGCTGTACTCTCAGCCCACTGGCTAGAGTTTAACTAAACTAAAGTTAAAAATTGTTAGGTATTTCCCTAGACCAGTGGTTCTCAACTCCCTAATGCTGCAACCCTTTAATAGAGTTCCTCATGCTGTGGTGACCCCCAATCATAAAATTATTTCATTGCTACTTTACAACTGTAACTTCATTACTGTTATGAATCATGTTGCTATCTGATATGCGGCGTATCTGATGTGTGAGCCCCGAGGGGGTCGCGACCCAGAGGTTGAGCGACACTGCTCTAGAAGGATAGAGGAAAACCCATTTGGGATTAAAACTTGGTTGTAGCAAACTGAAATATCGATTCACCTCCGACTCCACCTTGCCATCTCCCGTTATGTAGCGTTCACCCACATAGTGGGTATATAGATAATTTGCACTAAGAATATACAACCAAACCAACATCTCTCTCTCTCTCTCTCTCCTTCCTCTCTCTCTCTCTCTCTCTCTGTCTTTCTCTCTCTCTCTCTCCCGCCCTCTCTCTCTCTCTCTGTCTTTCTCTCTCTCTCTC